AAAATTTTGTATTAAGAACTAGCACAACGTCTATTCTCCATTTCAGCTATCATCCATACAAATAAATAAAATTGGAGTGTCTGTTTGTAATATTAAAATAACCGCTTTTTACTATATGCATATGTATGTTTACACGGTACATATGCCAAAATAACATTTTTTTAAGTTTTTGTCTCTCTGTCTGTCTGTCTGTCTGTTTGTTCCGGGTAATCTTTGGAACGGCTGGACCGATTTCGACGGGACTTTCACTGGCAGATAGCTGATGACATAAGGAGTAACTTAGGCTACTTTTTTTAGACTAGCTTAGCCCCGCGGCGTTGCCCGCGGTTATAACAACAAACGCGGGTAACACCGCGGGTCTCAGCTAGTAATATATAAAGATATTCATAATTATTTAAGAATTAAATGTAACAAAATAGTAACTGCACACATCTCACACACGTCCGTGTAAGTTTTTACAATTATATCATGGCTCTTGATACTTCGAGTTATAAATACTAAAATTTTGTATTAAGAACTAGCACAACGTCTATTCTCCATTTCAGCTATCATCCATACAAATAAATAAAATTGGAGTGTCTGTTTGTAATATTAAAATAACCGCTTTTTACTATATGCATATGTATGTTTACACGGTACATATGCCAAAATAACATTTTTTTAAATTTTTGTCTCTCTGTCTGTCTGTCTGTCTGTTTGTTCCGGGTAATCTTTGGAACGGCGGGACCGATTTCGACGGGACTTTCACTGGCAGATAGCTGATGACATAAGGAGTAACTTAGGCTACTTTTTTTAGACTAGCGTCGCCCCGTCGCTAGTTTACATCTATGACAGTTGGTCTACGGGGAGTGGTATAATTCTTCTTTATTTATCGTCTTTTAAAATACAACAATTTGCCTGATTAAGATTTATACTGCATGAGTGATCTATCGCATTATGCGACTAAAGCGATCTTTGAAACTAATAAGTGAATCCTGTAATGAGGGGAATTGCAGTATTAGTTTTGGTATAAATTAATTCATTTTAAAAGTAGCCTAGTACCAATCCATTCGCAAAAAGATAGAAAGCCAAGATAATACTTTAGAAACAGGTGCCTTAATTCTCGTATGAATGGCGCCGAACACTTAAGTGGAATACACTATTTAGTCACAAGTGCGGTTCAAAACAGAACACGTGTAGTTTATCATGAATTTTGAAGTAGTCAAAAGAAGGAGTATTTAAACTTGAAACTGTACCTACCTAATGCAAATTGCGTATAATTTTGTTTCCTGGTACAGAAAAAGCAAGTATTGAACGTTATAAAATATACCCCAATTGTTGTTTTTTATTAAATATACCTATAAATGAATTAGCGATATAATACAAATAGTGATTATATGCGGGCACTATTGTCATTTTCGTATTTTTCGGTATGTGTATTTATAGTTGAACAGTTTATAATAACATAATATAAAGTAAACTTTTTAATTACATAAATATTTTCTTTGTTAACATAGGTATGAACATAAATATTAGTTTTTGATTTTTGTTATAATTTTCTCATTTTAAATGTTATACTATATACAAATAAATTAAGCAAACTATAATAATGAATATTGTTCTGTGAAATATTTGCTTCTGGTCACGCGAAACTGTAATAAACAATTTGTTTTATTAACACAAAATATTTTACAGTTGGACCACTAAATCCTTTTGTCTGCAAACAATGATAATTTAATATACATATATATTCATCTATAAAATTAATTTTCAGTTTGCTATATTCAGTATGCATTTTCCTAGCATCAGCACAAAATTGATCCTAGGAACACGATTTTTTCACAAAAGGAATATTCATAAGTTAACATTCTGTCTCGTCTAGTCCTTGGTGGGAAAAAAATCTATCTGTTTTTTATGGTGTAGGGGGCAAACGAGCTGACATTTCGCCTGATGGTAAGTGACTGCCCCCCATGAACATATGCACCTCAAGAGTCACACCGTGCATGCGTCGTCGCGGGTTCTATTCCCGCTCAAGTCGAACATTCGTGTGCATGAACATGTAATGTTTGATTTGGTCTGGTTGTTTCTATTTATAATTTGTATGAATATACAAAAAAAGTATATAAAATGTATTTATATCAGTTGTCTAGTACCCATAGTACAAGCTCTGCTTAGTTTGTTGTTCTGTGAATGTGTTAGAATATTTTATTTATTTATTAACAACTGTTTTTTGTTAGACCATGATATCATTTAGGTTATCATCATCATCATTACACATACATACATATTATGGTACCAAACATAGTATATATTCTGTAATTTTCCAAAGAGTTGCCTATCCCGCAGACTATTAGATGCAGCAACAAGTTCCAAGTTACCATGTCGTGCAAATACCATCTAAGTGACAGTATACCAAATTTCAGATCAATCGAACCTGTGAATTTTATCACCTAGGAAGTGAACTGATGATTTTCAAAATTAATAGCTAAGAACCCGATCACATCGGCGTTTGAACAAAAAATCCTTATCGAAATTGGTCCATCCGTTCAGGAACTATGATACCACAGACAGATAAACAGATACGCAGGTTTAACTTATAACACCCCTCGTTTTCCGTTGGAGGTTAAAAACAGAGCTATATTAAAAATTGTACTAAACGAATCATTTTTTTTACTGTAAAACCAAAATTTGTAACACTGAATTTCCTTACACCAGAATTCTCTTTTAAAACCAACATTAAGCCTCTGAAAATCATAATAATATTCGCTCATAACAATATACCTAAGTACCGTACAATACTGTTGTACTACCCTACATCGCCCTCAAACCGTTATGTAGCCAATATAAACCCCATTAGTGTTATTGCATTTAAAATTATAGTGCCATTCTTGTAGTCCTGCCACATCGTAATTGGGGTATCACGCATCTTTTAATTATATCGGATAAACAACATTGCTGCTGAAGTTTGAGGATGTTACGTAAATATTAAAATATATTGCATACTTTTATTCGACCAAACAGACCTATTGTTTTAAATTATTTAACAGTTCTGTTTACAGTAAACCTATTAGATTATGTACTTAAATATTTTTCAGCTTTAAAGCGATGGTAACCTAACATATTTTTAAGAACATAGATTTTATCACAAAACCCGGTTTGAATGACTTAGATTTAGCATTTATTTATACCGTACTGTTTCTTATCTTTTTTGTAGTTGAGTTCAGTTTTAGTAAAATTCTTAGTGTCTGTGGACCAAAGCGATCACTAAAATCAAAATGTGTTAAATTGTTTGTAAAATAAATAAATAAATAAATATATTATTAATCTAATTGGCGATATAACACCACAAGGCACATGAGCTAACTACGAGTAGTTGTACTAAAGTTGATTGTTTAAAATAGAGCTTTCTTGCAAATATGAAACAATTAGTGATAAAATTTTAAAATTACTCAGATAGCTACTACGAAAAGAAAACTTCATACAGAAAACCCCACATGAGCAGAACAATCATGTCATGAAAAAAAATACTACGTTGTTGGATTCCGGATTCGTAGTTAACAATCTGGTAACATACAAGACAATCATTTGAGATACAGTACAGAACCTATATTGTGAAATATTCGTATTTTTTTCATTGTTTTTAATTGGTTCTTTTTTAAATGTTAAGTTTACATTTACTTCACTTTAAATATTAGCTCTTACACATCATCATCATCAACAGCCTTTAACAGTCCACTGCTGGACATAGCTCTTACACTGTACCCCCTTAAATTACTCAATTTATTTTACAAAATATCATTTGAAATGATATATTGGTTTCATCAAAATAAAAGCTGTTTCATCTATTGAATGCAACAGATATTAAAAATTAAAAGATGAGATCGAATTATAAAGAAAAGATGAAAACAATATTCCGATTCGGAAATAGCCATACAAATACACATCGAAAACACAGAAAATACCCGGACCAATTTGCAAAAAAACATTTGAATAACATGTCCGGAGATCACGCAGATTGATAAATCATTGTGACATGGTGCCCCAGGGGACACCGTGTTATTTTTATTTTATTTTACTACACACCGCTGAGCTTCTAAGGTAAATAGACCTGTCGACGGCTGTAGACCACCGACCGTGTTTAATAGAAGATATTCTTTAACATTTTTATATCAGAAAACGCAGTGACGCGACGGTTGTTGGCTAGGTGAAATAAGTTGTTGACCGTCGTAATACTTAGGTTAGCGGCACAAGAAATTTGTAGAGAAAATGTTTTGATTTTATCTCTACAGAATATTAGTAATTTTCGTTGCTTTTTATATTAATATTTTTTCACATGGATGTAGTACATACCTATGTTTAATTCTATGGAAAAAGGATGGCGGTAATATCACTTAGGGTTGACCTAGCATCACAAGGTATAATTATGATAAAACAAAGACATTTGATATGACAACATATGATAATACAAAGACAAGACGGGTTGGTAAAAGGTTTGTGACAAGCTTTTGCATGTTTGCTCCCTTAGTCGGCTCTTACAACACCTATGGGATGCGTAGGGGTGGTGACACTCCGTATAGTTAATCTAGCAGCACATGGAAAATTATTCTTGATATCCTCAATATATCGAAATGTTTTATAACCCTGAGCTTTACTCTTAAGTTGTTTCATTAAGAGCTTGTGTCATATCAGTAGCTACTATTGGAATTGCAATAAATTTAAAATCTGAACTCTAAAACACTCAAGTGAGTTTAACCCTAGAGTTGAGTATTCTGGCATGAATTTGCTTTTCATTCATCTAAATGTTATCCGGATATGGCTGGACTGAAATACTCGTAAATTTTCATTTAATAAAGAAAATGCAGTAACTAGTAAAAGCGGGTCATTTACATTTGTGGTTTAAAATCATTCGTACCTCACCAATTGATAGACTCCGTATTTATTGAATACTTTAATAGCAGTTTAACTTTGGGTTATTTTTTAGATAGGTCTGTACTTACCTGTTTATTTTTTATTGTTCACAGAACTTCTTTTGGGTACCCTCCGAACACATCAAAAAGCTGCTTGTGATGAAGAAATGGTAACGCTCATCTGTCCACGTGGAACCACTATTAGTATACAGGTAGCACAGTATGGAGCATCTGTGACGCAAGGATCCTGTTCATCAGACCTCGCGGAGTACCAGCCTGTTGCAGTCGAAGTCGTAGGGGACACGTCATGTGTGTGGCCTAATGCTTTACAGGTTAGATGATTCTTTAATAAATTAGTAGAAGAAATAAGAACTGGTAATAGATTGTAGTTAAACAAAATAATTTTAATGCCTTAAATATGCATTATTATACGCTTACTCTGGTCAATCTTAAGAGTTGAGAATAACGATTATACCAATCATAAAATAACGAATTGCTATTTTTAACTTATTTGAGAAGAAGCCTGATTCAAAAAATCTCTCAAAATATAACTTTTCCCCAGACTGATATTATAATGTAAGCTTTATTTTTTGGTAACGAAAGAACCACCTTTAGGAAAAAAGAGATCTAACGGACACTTACCTACTAAGTCATTCTGGACTAGACTTTATCATGTTCAACTCTTACAAAAACTTATAAAACACAAAAGATAAATATCTCTTTTATAAGTAAAGTTTTGAATATTTACAGCGAATGATCCTAAAGATTGCCACGAATTTAATAAAAAGTGAATTTCGTTTTATATTAATAAGTTCAAATAGCTATCTATCATGCAGATTCTTGTCAAACCTGGGAACTAACAGATGATGAAATACATTGAATAACTATTTTGGGTGACTGGGTGGGTATTAATAGACACCCTGGGTTGATCACCCTCTGCTTATTGTACTATGAATTTTATACATGTCTTGATTTTTTCTATAAATAGATAAACTCAATATAGTTTTGTAAAGGTCGTGGACGAAAGCTATGAAATTTAGCATAATGTTAATATATTTGAAATAAAAAAAATAAGTTACTTATTAGAAATCCATCACAGGGTTGTCAGACACGCAGGTGATCACTTGGAAAGGATGTTTCGGGGATCACCTGTGTCTGATCCGCAAGGAGCCAACGCCTGAGTGCCACCACTGCGATGGCCAGACCGTGGACACGGCTCTCCACACGCAGACAGAGTGCCCGGCGTGGGTTGAGCAGAGGCGAGACCTCGTGGCGGCCATCGGAGTGGGAGTTCTCTCGCTCGATAGCCTGATTGCGGCTATCGTGCGGAACGAGAGTGCGTGGAACTCTGCCGTCTCCCTGCCAGGAGAGGTTTAGAACTCTCCCGGCCCGCCAGGAACGGGAACGGGCTAGGTACCGCAGGCGACTCAGGCGCCGGAGGTCGCAGAACGACCTCCGTCCTCCATAAGCGCAGGTGTGGGGGTGACAGGTGAGGCCATCTGTCACCCTAGCAGAAGCAGGCCGGGGTGGCGGCGAGCGCGTTGCGAAGCGCGTTGTAAAGCGCGCTCGCTTCCAGGGAGCAGATGGAACATGGGGTTCCCTCACGGGGGGGGTCGTCTACTCGTCTGTAGATGGCCCGAGGTATGTCGGGGCACCAGGGACTTCCTTTCTAGGGTATACCTGGTTCCCCGGCTATTAGTACCCGAGACGGCGTGCGGTTTTAGTCGGTTCGAGTCCGACATGCCACCGATAGGTGGTATCCGAGGGAATATCCGCACGGAAAAAAAAAAAAAAAGGTTGTCAGACAAACGTGATACGTTTAACCTACAGTACGAAATACTTGAGTTATTAATTATCCTGCAAATTTATTGTTATAATAGCAGTAACAAAAGACAATAAAGACAATAACACATACAAGATAAAGGCTCCACGGATGGCGTAGTGGTTTAAGCGGTCGCCACGCCGCTTACTACTACGCCGAGTGTTGTGGGTCCGATCCCCACATAGAACGACACTTTGTGTGATCCACGAATTGTTGTTCTGAGTCTATGTGTTCTTTGTGTCCGTTTCATGTATGTTTGTAGAGTCCCCCGCGTTACAGTACTTATGCCTAGTGCGGCAGTTGTCTTTTTTAAAACAAGAAAACCAGAAAGAGAGCCGGTGTTATGAAATGCATACAACTTGACCCACTAGGCCGTCTATATCATTTTCGCTAATGCATAGCAATTTTAAATTCTATGGGTACTCCATTAAACATCTGTTTATTTTTATTAAAAAAACATGTTATCTGCAGATGAGTGATATTATGAAAATATGGAGGCCAAATCCCGTACATTTAATTAAACCACCATTGCGGCAGATTATACAAATGTTTTAAAATTAAACCGATAAAAATAATACGTAAAGAATGACCTACGCAAATTTGTAAGGTCTCATACTAACCGAAGCTGAAATGAAAATAAAAAAAACACATTAAATGTTCTTTAGCTGAAAAGTTCTAAGGTAGTACACTCACAAGAATCCACATTTTATAACAAAATTCGACTATTCAGGGGCTTTTTAAACTTTACGACGAACTTTACAGGTTTCCAAACATCTATTTAGTGAAATATTGAACATGTTTCAGGCGTCCTTTTTACTGAGACTTTATTACTCATTCTGATGTGTTTGGGCAATAACCCGAATTTACGAGCAACTGCCAATCCTGTCAACCTTTCTAATCCCAACATCGCCTGTAGAGATTTCACTCATGTCATATTTTACCAATATTTTTCTTGGAGGCAGTGCTTGCAGCAAAAAATATGCCTATTGTCTTTTGTTTTACCTTTCTTTACTGTAACAATAAAAACACAATGTCTAAATCAATTGTTTTGGTCATTGTATTTTAATGGTATTATTGAAAGAGGTATATATGGAATGGCTTTCATAAATATAAAATCGGTGCTTCTGTATCGGTAATTTTCGGGACGTTTTATGAAACGCAATATGCCAAAATGTTTGATTTTGCTGTAAACTTTACTTTATATTATACCGCGGAAAACTTATTGCTCATTTTTACTTACTCCTTGCTTAAAAGACAGTAATAAACGGCCTCACTTTTTAACTAAATAATCATAGAATAAAACACCTCAATATTATTTATTTGTAAAAGGTGTTAAGCAAAATTACTAACATAATTTTATTTATGTAGAAAAGGTATAAGGCAAACATTATGTAAAGATAAACCTGAAATGGGATGAATGCTTAATGCAAAATATTCATTATAGAAGAGAGGTAGACATTCTTTATTGTACTTATTAATTAAATATAGAAACAAGTGATAATAGGCGATAAGTAAAATAGAGTAGAGGTAGAGAGAGAGAAATTAGTAGATTTTTTTTTGACGTTTTCACGTCAAAATAATCGTTTACATTTCGTAATGAAAAAATTTAGAAAGAGGACGATGAAACAATATATGATAGTTTGGAGGTAAGGGAAAAGAAATACATGTTGCATTTGAAGTGTGTGCATGTAGTATATTATAAATGTAAATAAAAGCATATTTAAATTAATAAAATTCATGAGAACAATAAGTAATAAGTAGAGTTGTATAAATATGTGCAGGCAATTTCAGATGGTCCGTGTGGTGACTGATTAAGAATACAGAGTGTCACCACCCCTATTCATCCCGTGGGTGTCGTAAGAGCCGACTAAGGGAAAAAACTACGCAGAACAACAGCACTGCAGAGAGAAGGAAAACTTGACACAAACCCTATACCAACCCGTCTGGCCAGCGTAGTATAGTAGGCTTAAACCTCATTTCTAAGGAGAGGCGTATGTCCAGCAGTGGACTATTAAAGGCTGTTGATGATGATGATGATGATGAATTTCAGATGCAAATTGTCTGAGAACCTTAAATAAATTTTGGTGGTGTAATTTAGAGAGCTTATTTTTTGCACACAAAAAACAGTTAAACCAATTCAAAAATATCTACTTAGGCAAAAATAGATCGTTAACAAAATATACGATATATATATATGAACAAGATAAAATAAAGCTGTGTGAGAACAAGATGTCAAAGATTTTATTTTTTTCTTTAAACGAATTATTATGACAGGAAGGTGGGACTAGAGAGCGAGAAGTGCATTCATAGTAGGAAGTGATCTTTTTGCAAGAATTTTCAGATTACTGTTATTGTTGAATAAAATTTAACGTAGCTTTCATAGGTAATAGTAACCTATATTACATACTTATAGACTATTATAGATATATATATATTTTAGACTTTATAACACAATGTAACTTTGTTATTTAGCTAAACGATGTGAAAACTATGCCGACCGCTAAGTTATTCCAGAATAGTCATACTAACTAATTGGAGTAGTATTCATTGTTACAGACTGTGGTGGAAGCCTGTCAGAAGAAGCGTCAGTGTAAATTCCATACGAGCCCTAAAGCGTTTGGGGTCGATCCTTGCCCAGGTTCAAGAAGGTTCGTCGAGGTTGCGTATAAGTGCCGTCCTTGTAAGTACACCTCTCATACATACTTTAAAGTAAATGTAATCTGCCTATGTTTGTTTGCGGTATCTAAATACGGTAGATGTTGGTCGGATATTATTGGTATTTTTTGTCAATGTACCTCGTATTATATTCTATGAAAATCTAGTACTAGAATAATCTCTGATAGTAATTTTAATATTTTTTTTACAATTCTCGTTGTTATAATTTTGTTTTGTAAGTTGTGGACAAACACTATAGCCATATTTAGCCGTCAAAGATATATATATTTCAGATCCTACTACATCCATTTATTAGGCTTTTACAATAATGGTTCATAATACGTACCTAAAGCAAACAACAACAGTAGGTATAGTTCAAAGGAAGTGCAATGAGAAGTGAAATTTAATGCCAACCATTTTTCTTCAAGGTGAACAACAAGTATTTGTAAAAACCTTATTTGCGACGACCCTTTTCGAAATCGTTTTCAAAGACATTTTTTTAAATCCTTCTCTGATGACAAATTCCTTTTTGATAGAAATGCGAAGCGAGATTTGAATCAGATTCAATTTATTTCCTACTTCTTCCGTTACCTCCTTTGTGATGGAGTAAGTATTATCTGTTTTGCGTGTGTTCGTTACATCACAAATAACAAATGAAGATGGGTATTTTATGAAATATCAATATTCGATTTATTTGCATTGCTCAATTTAAGAATTTATTTGTTAGTTACTTCGTACATAATTTATATATTAGGTACTTGTGTTTACTGTTTTGTTTTCCTGTTTACTAAGGAAAGAAGTGAATTTATTTCATTTCTTTGCTTGGGTATTTGTTGTACTCAACAGTTTTATATTGATCATGGCACAGAGTCATAACAAAAGTATAAACGTAATAATTAAGGTGTTGTAACTGCAAACATATTTATTTTATTATGTTACTAAAATCTAACGATTTAATGCCTCTAACAGATGAATTCCGAAGCAAAGTTGGTTGTGAAAATGACGTCCTCCACTTAAGTTGTAATCCTCACTCGCGAGTGGCCATCTACTCAGCACAGTACGGCAGAACAGAGTACGACTCTATACAGTGTCCGCAACCGAGAGGAATGAAGGAAGAAAGTAAGTATTCAATTTAGTAATACATCACCAACATCTTAGTTTCATTTATGTCGATAGTTTATTGTACTCGTCTATGTCTATTACTTCTATTATCTTTAGGAATGACTGTAAGTACGCACAGATTTGTGCTTGGGGTTGCATAACTCCTTTATTCGTAAATAAGAAATGTAATTGATGGGTGAAGTAAGAAAGGAAGTAAATAAAGACAAAACTTCCAATTACCCAGTAATGTAGCTCAACTACAATAACTGAAATATTAAGTTAAGGCAACTTAAAATTACAATACAGGGTATTTTTTACTACCAAGAAAATAGAATCAATATTTAGTACAAAGACTTTTGAACTACGGCAAATCCTGTGACTATGGCTGTAGGATAATAAATGTGTATGTGATTATGGTATAATAAATATTTGGGTGAATTCGTGTTTTTCAAAGAATGAGCCATGCGGCCATATTTTTAGAGTATAATTGAGGTAATTAGAAACAAAACCTCCTACCCTCTCCTGATTATGGAGAGGGGATTCAAATTACGCCACGCACTTGTGACTCTTAAAATGAAGGTGTCCATGGGTGGTGTTAATCACTTAACATCTAGTGACCGGTCTGCTCGTTTGCCTCTTATGTCATAAAAGAAAAAGCACGACTAGTTACAGAATCGACTGGGCCCTTTTACATGCCTATAACCACTCCGTGGTAACATGCGCCACACTTTCACATATGTATAGGTTAATAATGCTCAGTCCAATATATATTACATTATACTAAGAATTGAATTGTTCTGAGTTTTACATTTAAGTTTACATGTATTTATTGTTCTCACTAGTAGCCAGAGCTTTAATATTACGATCGTTACTAATCTTAACCAAGCAATTGTATAGTAATACAAACTCAAAAAAACAATCTGCGCTACGAATATATTTTCAATTTATAGTGATTTTCCCGTGTGTTTCAAGAAAACGATTGTTAATCACTCCCTAATCTCTTACAGGGACAATTTTATCCTATGGGATTATACCATGATCCGCTATAACTTATTTTAGGTTGTGTAATTTTCTAATCCTTTAATAATAGTAAAACTCTTTTTGTTTACTTTAATAAACACAATTAACCTTCTATTAGTTTGATTTAGTTATGTTTTGACCAAGGGAAAGAATGTATATATTTATATGTATTTAATATAACAACAGATTTTAAAAATAAAATAGAAAAGTTTGTTAAAAATTTCCGTAACATTCTAGACAAATAAGTAATGTATTGTTTGAATTGCTGAAATTGAGTTAGAAGGTAATTTCCCAACGAGTACTGTTTCATCTTTACTTTAAGCTAGAATGAAAAATTGAAAAGTAAAGTAACGTAAATTATTTATATTTGAAATAAGAAAAATAAATAAATTTTAAATAGGAAAAGTGATGTTTCTGTTCACAATCCGATTTTTAGTAGGGTTCTTTTTCTTTCATTAATTTTCCATTGTTTCAATGTTAAAACAAACATTTTATTTGTTCTTTAGCTTAAAAATAAACGTGTATTATGTTAAAAGTTGTTGTTAATTATTTCAAGACATGTAATTAAATCAAAATTTACTTAATTAGATGTTATGCTGTGAAATGAAAGTAATTAAAACACGGATAATAATGGTCAACAAGCTTGATATAAATACGGTAGAAAAACAACAATTAATCACATTCGAGCCGATTTTAATGAATATAGTTGCTTTAGAATTTCATTATTAGGTTTTACAACCACTGATTTATAAAAATAATTAGTAAACCATAGCTACACGTTAACTAAATTTTATTCATTATTTGCTATAGCTCAATAAATGTAGTTTTCGTTGGTCTACAGTATAGTTCGGGGTACAAAGTAACAATATAATTATTGTATGAACCAGATTATTAGAGTCTATACACATGCATATATTAGTGTATAAATTTCAATAGATACTACATACACCTTATTCAAGTCTCATTTGTCACAGACAAAGTTAACGAGAAGCGTCTAAAACGGAGCGAAATAATTACCGTAAAAACTTTTCTCTTCAATCCATTATCAATTTCCGTTTGAAACTTCGTTCACCTGTGAAACCCTCACATTGTTTTTATTCTGTAATGTATCTTCTTCTAATCCGAAGTGTTTTTGATCATTCCTTCTTATTCTCTATCGTATTATATCTAATTTCTTCTTATCTTTGTCGTTTTGTGTAAAAGATTACTATCCCCACTTTTCTTTTATTTTTCAATGCTATGAATACCAACTACATTTTTTTGATCATTCGTGGGAAGTAGCTTATCTATAAACACGAGTGTTGTTTATTATGTTTACGGCAAAAAAACTTTTATGTTTATTTTTAATTATTCAAAAAATGAATCTACATAGAATAGTCTTTAGTCAGTAAGCTATATACTATATAACTTATTGACTAAAGACTATTCTATGTAGATTCATTTTTTTTTATATAGTATATACAGAAAGCATGATGTAATCCTATAAAGTAGTAAAGATCTACGGTCAACAAATAATATGCTACTTCTCTGCCCCCCTCACACTTCCAACTTCATCAATTCTTCCTTCTATGTACAGTCAGTTCTTCTCTGGAATGCGCTCCCAGTTGAAATCAGGATGTCCACTAACCGGTTTACGTTCAAGAAGAAAGTACAAGATCTTCTTCAAAATAAGTTGGCAGAAAGATCATAACGCTAGTACCGACTATGTATTTATAAATGTGTATGTTCATGTATTGTATGTGTATACTTGATACCTCTATGTATATATGTAGTAATGAATATAGTATTTTATTTATAGTATATGTATGTAAGTTAGATTTATCTTAAACTAGCTGACCCGGCGAACTCTGTTCCGCCTTAAAGGCAATGAATAAGCCGATTTTCGAATTTAGTAAGTTAATTGTTTTCCGAGAAAAAAAAATGAAGTACATTAATCATTTATTATTGTTTTTGCATTTCAGTACATAGGCTGCTCTTCACTTAAGTACCTTGTGATACACGACATTTTTTGTTTTCTTATCAGGCGCAAAAACAAACAACGCAGATGGTCTTCCGACCCGTGAACATGCCACATATAATTGACCATGGGAAAAACATGGATGTTCTAGATTCAAACCACAAACTTTTAAGGATTGGCCTTGTGATTTGTTGATCATGGAAAATGCAAGACGTATCGGAAATTGCAGTCTTTTAAATTCAAACGGCAAATCGGTTGAGATCATCGGGATCCTCGGAATGAGAACTTCCTCACCTTTGAATTTTCCTTTCAATATCGTCGCTAAATTACATTATTCATCAATTTTTTAAAAACCAAACGCGTACCGTTGCACAGTTTTGGTTGGTTTATGTTTCGAAGCATGATTACTACGGAGCCAACCTTTAGGCGTAAATTTTGCGGTGGTAAGCCAGGCACATCCAAGGAGTTTAAAAATTCAATTGGATAGTTGGTGGCTTCATCTTCATTTGTGACGCAGTCAATAGATTTGAATGAATGCATTGTTTCAATGATCTTATTTTGAATTATATAGTTCAGGTCGTCTACATCTTTATTCTTAGCCGCTAAAATTGCTCGCTCACTCAACCATTCATTATTTTTGTAGTTAGAAATAATGTCTTTAAATACATTGTTAATAATTTCTTCTTTTGATGAAACAAAATTACAGAAATTATTTGGAAATGATATCAATCCGCTCGATTCATCGACAGGTACTTGACCATTACCGATAGTCAGCAATTGCTCAGAGAAATATTACCAGTCCGTAGTGTCTCAACTGACGTTGGCCCATGCACATTTACCAGCAACAACTGTATACATACGACCAAGAGCATCAGTAGAACGCACATCCGGATACCCAGGTACCGCATCGCCTTGCTTCCGTCTTTGAAAATTCGAAGCATTCCAATTAATAACAATAACGTGGCATCGCCGAGTAAAGCAAAGTTCGTAAAAAACAAAAAAAAAAAAAACACTGTCGAACGGAATAAATAGTATCCTATGTCCGTCTCCTGGCTCTAAGCTTCCTCCCCCACCAATTTTCAGCAAGATCGGTAAAGCCGTTCTTGAGTTATAAATAGTGTAACTAACACGACTTTCTTTTATATATATAGATTAATAAATTTAATATAAAAGAGTCAAATTCTCTGTTATCTCTTGCACCTACATCATCATTTTTCTATATCATCCGAAGGTCGACTGGCAGAGAATGCGCTGGGCATTAAGTCCGCCTGTGTACAACTTGTGCATTAAATTAAATAAATCTATACTAATATTATAAAGCTGAAGAGTTTGTTTGTTTGTTTGAACGCGCTAATCTCAGGACCCACTGGTCCGATTTGAAAAATTCCTTCAGTGTTAGATAGCCCATTTATCGAGGCAGGCTATAGGCTGTATATCATCACGCTAAGACCAATAGGAGCTGAGCACCAATGAAGAATGTTTAAAAAACGGAGAAAATTTATTACTATTGAGAGACGCAGACGAAGTTGCGCGGGTCAGCTAGTAACTAAATAAAGATGTGCGGTTTTACTTACGGTTACGTTGGTAGCGCAGGACGCGCAGGACTCCTCCAACAAGACACCTTGTCAAATTCGTAAGCATACGGCTTACGGTAAAGGCATTTAATAAATATAAATACCATTCATGATTTAATGAATAATTCTAATTTAATTATAGATTGATATTTGACAAATACCAGTAAGTACCAGTAGTACAAATACCAATATCATTAACTTTTAAATTAAGTGTTACCTATCTATTTATCAGAAATATCTCTTATTATTTGCTATCTTCCTTTTTTTATTAAAAAAGCAGCTTGACTTTCTTTCAAGCACAAGGCACTGATTTTAAATCCAGGTGGTTGATGACACTTTTTCATTTGAGTTTTAATTCAACGCCTGGTAGATACTGTAGTGGTTACAAAGATGGCATTGTTTCGATAAAAAGTAGTTTTAAAAGAATAGTATTATAATTAAAATTAATGAGAATACTTTTGTAATCTTAAATTCATTTTCAAGGAAATATAATTCCGAAATGAAAGCTTTCCTCGGTTGGAATCGCTAATTTAATTTTAACGTGTAAATTCAGCCCATTGAAGCCTGTTTATTGAATAAATTATTTAGGTTCTTACAATTTCAACAGAAACGCTGAGAATGGTTGAGTGGATCCAAATGATATTTGAATTCTTTTGAAATTCTTTTATTAGATTTTAAAATCGAAATGTTTGTCGAAACAAAGTCGATTACATTTTCGAGTAAATTAAAAAAAAAAAAAAAATTTCAAAGTGTACTAAATAAACTTAATCCGTTGTTTATCTTTTAGACAAGAAGTACTTACAACGACACGTCAGAAATGGAGATCTAGTACAGATAAACGTTTTTAAAGAATCGTTATTTTGAAATAAATTATGCTTTACCGAACGCAACATTTGATTGTTTCATCTCTAATTTTAGTGCAAGAACCGTCCCCCTACACTCTCTCGAAGAGGGTAGGTACATAACTCAACCCTAAGTGTGCGATAAACGCGGCTGGAAAACATCAAATCGATAATGGCCCTCATTATACTGTCCGTCTTATGTAACTGAAACCTTTTGTTCAGATGCGAAGCGATGGTTTTGTTTAGATAATTATTTATGGGATCAAAGCTTTTGCTTATGGCGGTACAGTTACATCAATTTATGTTACTGTATCTAGGCTAATGCCATAAAAATATTCAAGCAAAATATATGTTATGTAATATATTTGGTACTTCAATAGGAATAATTTTCTCAAGTGTGTTTTTGTTCTGGTATATTTACGCTCAATTGCGAAAATAATGTTCAGTAAAACTAGCTACCCAGCTGTAGTATTTTGTATTTTAATACTACTAATATTTTCTGTCCGTGGTGCCTCCCTGTTTAAAAGGGTGTATGCCTATTTTACTTCATTTTGTCTTCCGCTTTGCTAAGGAGGGAAGTGGATTTACTGTATTAAAAACTCTTCCAATTTTCTTCTGATTAATTTCAAGACAGTTTAATTACGTCCTGGGTGTGGGTCACTCTTGTGGATCCTGGTGTACAGGAGTTACAGTGGTGGGCGTGTGGGTGGGATTAGTTCCAATACCCAGCTCTAGCCAAGGATTTAAGTAGACAGTACTAAGAAAATCTACTATATAAAGAGTAACTATTACTGCTAGCTTACTTAAGGGTTCTGAAATTTACGTGAAACTTAGAACGCTTCAAGTTTACACTTGCCTCGGTATTATAATGGTATCGTATGAGACTGCTGCGCTTAGGTCTCGTGTTCGATTTCCGGGTTGCACCGAATGTTTGTATGGTCTGCAAATTTTTGTTTCGGAGTTTGGCATGTTTTCCATGAATGTATTGACAGATGTAAACGTATGTATTAAAAAACGTGTGAAAGTATTCTGTCAGTCAATTTAGCTGTCATAGTACAAGCCCTGCTTAGTTTGAAACTAGATGGCGTTGTGTCACAGATGTGTCCGAAATGTTATTATTATTATTGCAGAAAGCAAATTCAACCATATAATAAAGGCTACTACTACCTGTATAGTTAAAGTTATGCTGGTCATTAAAATAAACCATAAGTGATGTATAAGATACAGGCGATCTTTGGTACTTATTGATATGCATTTTACTCTGTAACTATTAACCCTTGTGTGTCACCACGTCTCTTCATCCCGTGGCTGTCGTAAGAGCTGACTTAGGCAGCAAAGTACGCAGAACAACAGCACTTGAAAGAGAGGGAAAACTTGAAACAAACCCTACACCAACTCGTCTGGCCAGCGTGCTATAGTAGGCCGAGAGAGAGTGTGTGTGTGAGAGTGTTTCTAAGGAGAGGCCTATTTCCAGCAGTGGACTATTAAAAGTTGTTGATGCTGATGATATAACTCTGTGTTAAATGAAATTTAGGTTTCACTACTTCAATATATTTCATATGCATATTAACTTTTATTTTATTGACCTGAGTTATAAAACCGTTGCAAATACATTCTCTTACTCCACTTATTGGACACAAATTCAGGGGACTTTAAAAAAACTTGCAAACCACAATATATGTGTTAACAGGAATATCATATTTACAAAAGACATCGTACTCCTATTATATAATACTTGCCTTTCGTTTTATATGAGTAAATTTAAACATAGGCACTTTAACTCTTAATCGTGATGAAATCAACAGTATATTGATTTTTGTAAGTTAGAAAAAAAATTAGTGAAAAAACTAGAAAAGACTACAACATAGAGTATAAAACGAATTGACTAACATACAAAGTACATTTTAGCAATTACTTCTATGTAACTAAGTTAAGAAGCTTATGGCAAAGCGGCAACTGTGTGGATTGATCGATCAGCTCAGTTAGGCAACTCTGCTGTGTGCGAAGCTAACACACGTTGATTGATTACAAAACTAGCTTTGTTCTGTACGTTCAAGAAATATATTTTCTAGTGAAACCGCATTGGTTGACCTTAATAATAGGCAATACAAACGCCTGTAAGAATATACTAAAAAAACGAGAATCAACTCATAAAAATAACGATCGGCTTTGTAAAAACTGTGGTATAAACACTTTTAAAGTTCGTACTGTATATTATTTTCTTTCTGTCAAAACAAGGCCAATGTATGACATTTTATAGTAAAATCTATTATAAATAAAAATAGGTTTAAGTTTAGGCTTAGTATTATTTCTCAGTAGTGGGTTATATTCAAGATTAAAAAGCTATGGATAAAATTATTTTGGCTTCACGTGCTTTTTCAAATGTTTTTATACTCGTATTTAATATTGCTACTATTTACTGATTTTACATATTTTTTATTTTTTTAAACCTAATATCAGTTTTTTAAACATTAATCTTAATAACATTTTAGTCTAAAACAAAACAGTGCTGTAATGTAATTTTATGATCACATCCTGTGATTTAAAATATTGCTGTAGTTTAGTTAGTTTTCAAACTTTAATATAACTAATTTGAAACATAGAAATTTAGCTTAATTTAGAATTCTACAGTCGAGTGCAAATGCAGTAGGTAACTGCCTTTGTTTCTAAACTAGAAACTGAGCTGAATAATGATATTTCTTTTATCATTTCCATCGTACCAATGGTTTCCTTTCTCTTTGTGGAATAATGGATACGACTGCTATCGCAATTATTTGAATAAAAATACGTCGTAATGATGAATAACTGCGATTCAAACTTGAGTAATTTTATTCTTCTTTTCATATTAAAACCTTCTGTTTTTACTGTTCCTTTTGTTACAGAACATTATTTTAATTGCTTGTAACTAAATATCAAGGGTATTCTTAATAATTTGTAATCCTTTTACTAATTTTTATTTTGTGTTATCAGTAGATGATTCCGTGTTTGCAGTGAACGGCATAAGGCTAGTTAATAGTCAATACTTACTAATGTTATAAACACGTGTGGTGATGGATTAATAATATGGAGTGTCACCACTCCTTTTTCTCTCGTGGGTGTTGTAAGAGCCGACTAAAAGAGCAAACTATGCCGGAAAACAGCACCGCAAAGAGAAGTAAAACTTAACACAAACCCTATACCAACCCGTATATCCAGCGTGGTATAGTAGGCATAACCTCCTGCCTAAAGAGAGGCCTATGTTCAGCAGTGGACTATCAAAGGCTGTTGATGATGATGATGTTATAAAGATAAGTTGTTGATTTTAATAGGGTTTTTTCTTAGTGTAATTAAACTGCTTGGTTGCTGCGTGTTTTAGCCTTTAATGTAGAGGCGAATTTAAGTGGCTTCTCTATTTTTAAACTGGGAGTTTAAGGTTGCAAATTCTATATTTAATCATGCAATTTAAGTACTTTTACCTTTTACTTATCTCCAATTCTTACTTTTGTTTGCCCGTTATAAATTCATCGAGCCCGGTCATTCCTCTCTGCCATCTTTATTTCAACTATTAATAGTCGTTCTTTAACTGAGAACTGAGTTCATTACTGTACATCATTCTTAGTGCCATTATGGACTTATTAAGTAACCCTTTAAGGTTGTTAATGTTATATGCACCATACTTCGAAACTATCCATTAATTGTTATTTATTTACATAAAATTTAATATCTCAATTTAATCAACATAAAGATAAAAGTTGTAGTTAATGATTTCCCAAATAAATGTTTTGTGCTAAATATTTATACAATCTTTTATGTCTTTGGTGATGAAACGTGTATTTTTCTCAGCCTGCATGGAGCCATATGCGACGGAGACAGCCATGAGGGAGTGCCACGGTAAAAGGCGATGTGTTCTATCAGCAGATAGTAACATGTTCGGACGGCCATGCAGAACAGGCAGCCGAACCTACCTCAAAGTTGTTTACACTTGTGGTGAGTTCATGAGAATATTTTAATAGCCGAATGTTTGGCAATTAAGTCGTAAACCCCATTTGTGAAGTTATTACTGAATGTTAAAAAGTTTCTTGTTTAGAGTCGTTAAAAGTATGTTTATATTCATTTGTTTCTAGGGGGTGATAAAATAGCTTAAATGATTTTGTGACTTGAGATACTTGAAATAAAAAAAATACTTCTTTTTTATTGTGTAGGATTTTATGACTAGCAATTGCTTTATATTTCTTAAATTGTAATAGTGGAAGACTAAAATAATGAAGAAGGTTTAGATTTAGAAAAAAAATATTATACGTAAGGCTGTATATATATTGACAAGTAGAAGCGACAATTTATTGTACAGTAAGATGCAATTTAAAAATAGATATTTCTTCAACATCTGTGGAAAACTCATTAAGATCGTGTGAAACTGATAGGTAACGAGCGAGTAATAACTCTGCGCTACAGCTGAACAAAAGCTTTATAAAGTAAAATGTTTAAATATATAAACTCGTTACATTTTATGCGGAGTCTTCAGAGGTCTTTAGCCCCTCAATAGTTTAAATAAACCGTGGTGAATTCACGTTAGCACGTCGCAAATTTATGAGGTGCACAGGCAATATACGTATTATGGTTTGCTAGTAATATCAGCTTAATATGAATATATTACTATCTTAGGCATAAATATTAAACTTTTGGATTTAATTATAAAAATACAATCTACAATTTATTTTGAATAGATTGGGGCCAATTTACAGATTTAGCCTGCAACGCACTCGTGATTCATTTCCTTGCTAATATGCCGCCTATATCATAAGAAAATAAAACTGAATGATTTCTAAAAAAACACTTTAAAACATGTCATATAAAGTTGGTACAATGGTTAAAGAATAAAAAGTAATAAACTTATCTTCAACAAATGAAATAATGCAATATTTACGCAAAGGTATTTTTCCTGCCTGAATTTTATCCCTTATTTTATTTTGGTTTAATATGAGCACCATAGAATAATTACAGAGATTTAGAATGACTTTAATATTCTAACAATAAATTTAAATTATACAATACTGAGAAAGTTACTGCGACAATAAATCCCTGTATACCGTATGCTTATCACCTAAAAATGTACTTACGATGTTTGAATTCCTTTTGTCAATCTTTCCAAGTTATTTATCATTTTAAGTTGAAAATTTTTCAACTTATTAGATATACTTATTTCTACTTAACTACTGTTTGGCATTTCTTTTCTGAAAAAACAATTGACGCCATTTTATTAATTACTTTTGAAAGTGATTCTTGAAACATATTATACTTTAAAACTCTAGGTCCCTGTTTGTAGGGGTGTGTGGTCCGGAACCTCCTTGTGGTGCACCCTGGGCAACGGAGACGGCAGCGCCTCTCTCCCTAGGTGGGGGAGGCGCTGCCGCCTGCGGCCAATTCCGGCCGAGGTGGGAACGGCCCGTCAAGGGCTGTTCGGAGGGCTGCTTTCCGCATGTCCCTCTGTTTGGCAGAGGGCATAGGGGAGAGCGGGCTGGGGGCGGACGGGTCCACTGCCGCTGGCTCTGTCCAGAGGTGGGGGACACTGGTCTGACGCAGACCACCGTCCGGCCATGTCGTAATCCTGACTGGCAACGGTCAGGAATGACGGCTCTTCGAGGGCTACGAGGAAGGCAACCTCTATAAAAAACCCTGGGGCGGACGGATCCGGTCTGGTGCAGACCCCGTCCGGCCCAGCCGTAATCCTGAATGGACAGGACCGGTGGATCTTCGGATCCGCGAGGACGTAAACCTCTATAAAAAATGCTCTAAGCCCACGTTCTGACGCCTGGCAAGGGGCTGAGTCGCTGGAGGGAGTCCAGTGCCGAAGGCGTCCCCGTCGAAGGACGTTAAACTAACTAATTCATGACATGGGCCCAAAGATTATTAAATCTACCCAGGAGGGTACCAGACGCACTGCGTCTGGAGAATCCCTCCCGGAGCCAGACGGCTCCGGCAGCTCCCAAACGTACTCTGGGGGGAGCAACCTCTGTCAAACCTGCCCGTCGCCGAGCAGTAAATCCGGCACCCAAAATAACGCGGAGGACGCAAAAAACCAGGAGGTAGTGTCGAACACCGACACTGCCTCAGAGATGAGCGAAGCGAGTACCCCGATGGTCTCAGCTGCGGAGCAGCACCAGAAGGGTACTCCAAAGCGCAAAAGGCGCTCGCTTCGCCTTGGCCTGAAGAGGCAATTGGAGTCGGCCTCGAGCGATGACGCCACGGCTCCAAAAGTCGGCACAAGCCGCAGAGGCGCTCGCGGCGGAGGCCGACTCCCTAGGGTTGCCCAGGAGCAGAAGAAGGAGCCCCTACGCTCCTACGCTCCCGTGAAGAGGGTCGCGTCCGAGAGGTCGATAGACGTGACCGAGGTGAGGAGCGAGAAGGAGGGTGGCAAAACCGGCAACCCCGTGGACCAGATCGAGGAGGCAATCGGCGTGGCCGATTGCCTGCTCCAGACGTCCGGGGTAGCCAGGGGTCCCGAACAGGAGGCGTTGGTAGCGGTCGTGCGCTCCATCATCGAGGCGGGACGACTCCTCGTGGCCGAGAGCAAGGCCCACGCTAGGGAGAGAGCCCGCCTCGAGGCGGATCTCGCCAAGGCTCGTGCCCACGCTGGTGCCACACCAGCGTCTTCGGCACCTGTGGCGTTGTCCGCCCCTAAGGAGCCGGACTTAGTCCGACTCGTGGCGGAGATGGAGGAGCGAATTATGAGGCGCATCTCTGCAATAGAGAGCGCCCGTTGTCGCCCACCTCTGGCTCCGCCAAGAGCAACCTATGCGGCCGCTGCCAGGGCGGGCCTAACAGCCCAGCCAGCAGATAGGGTGGCTGGGCCGTCATCAGCCTCCCCGCCCCAGAAGACCGGAAAGGGCAAAGGGAGGGGGAAGGCGGCCCCAACCCAAGCCCCAGTCTCGGCCCCGGCTGACACCGCACAGCGCTCGTTGGAGCGGGGCTGGACGGTGGCCGGGGACAACAAAAAGAGGCGGAAGGCCGCCAAAAAAGCGGCCAAGAAGGCGAGGAGGGACGCCGCCGCCGCCGCGAAGGGAGCGCCGAGGAAGCTCCGCGCCCCTCGCTCCTCGGCCGTCGTTATCACTTTGACGGCGGAGGCAGCGGAGAGGGGCGTGGGGTACGCCGAGGTCTTGACGAAAGTCAAGGCCAACGTGGACCTCAAAGCCCTCGAGATTCCGGGCGTCCGGTGTAAGAACACACGGACGGGAGCCCGGCTCCTCGAGGTAGCCGGCGCTACCAGTGGCCCCAAAGCCGATGCCCTAGCGGCTAAGCTGAGGGAGTCACTGGATGCAGCTGACGTCCGAGTGTCCAGGCCCACTAAATGCGCCGAAGTCCGCATCACGGGCCTGGACGACTCTGTCACGGCGGACGAGCTCAGACTCGCCGTGGCGGAGACGGGAAGCTGCCCTCTGGACAGCGTGAAGGCCGGAGCAATACGCTTCGGCCCCGGTGGACAGGGGGCAGCGGTTGTCAGCTGCCCCATCGCGGCGGCCCAGAAGGTCGCCGATGGACGGAGCCTCCTGGTCGGAGGTTTCCTGAGGGCGCAGGCACGGCTCCTGGAGGCCCGACCGGCAAGGTGCTTCAGGTGCCTGTCGGTGGGTCACGTAGGGGTGCACTGCACGGCGGAGGCCACCGTAGGTGACCGATGCTTCCGCTGTGGCCAGCCCGGTCACAAGGCGGGTGGCTGCAACGCTCCGCTGCGTTGCTTTAGGTGCGCAGCGGGGGGCAAGCCTGCCGACCACCGGGTTGGTGGTAAGGCCTGTGCCCTATCGCGACCGAAGCCGGGAGGCCGACCTTCCGCCTCCGAGCCGCTGATCCAGACGGAGAGTGCCGCTGGACAGCCGCAAAGCTCGCTGCGGGATGCGGGGATGGAAGTCCAGTGATGGATCCACATCTCCGCATCCTCCAGGTGAACGTAGGCCACGGTGCCGATGCTCAGGATCTTCTGCTCCAGAGCATGGCACAGTGGTCCATCAACATCGCCGCTATCGCCGAGCCATATGTCCATCGGTTTCTCGGGCCTCCCTGGGAGACCGACTTGGACGGCACGGCGGCCCTGGTGCACGGTACCGCAGCCGGCACTCCACCTCTTGCAGTAGTTGCAAGGGGACGGGGCTGTGTAGCGGCGATAGTTGGAGATATAGCGGTCGTGGCCGCTTATTTCACGCCGAACCGAAACCAAACTGAGTACGAGCAATGGCTCGCTCAGCTGGCCGTCGTCGTCGATGCCTGTCGCCCCCACCCGGTTCTTGTGCTGGGGGACTTCAACGCCTGGTCGCAGGCTTGGGGTTCCCTGCGCACGAACCCGAGGGGCAGGGCATTGGAGAACTGGGCTGAAAGATTCGGCCTAGTTCTCCTAAACCGGGGGGCCGTGGCCACGTTCGTGACGGCGAGGGGTAGTTCGATTGTGGACATCTCGTTCGCATGCCCCTCGCTAGCGCGTCGTGTCCAAGGCTGGCGCGTCGTTGTCGGGGAGGAGACAGGTTCGGATCACCGATATATTCGGTTTGACGTCTCCGCCCCTACAGATGGCGCGCCGGTCAGACCGGCACCACCTGAACCACGTTGGGCGCTCAAGCGCTTAGATCGCGACCTCCTCCTGGAAGCCGCCATCGTACAGGCCTGGGCTCCTGCGCCGGACAGGCCTGTCGACGTCGATGATGAGGCACAGTGGTTCCGGGAGGCCATGACCCGCGTCTGCGATGCGGCGATGCCTAGGACTCAGCCCAATACTGCGAGGCGCCAGGTCTACTGGTGGTCGCCGGAGATCGCACGGCTGCGTCAAGCCTGCGTGACCGCGCGCCGCCAGTGGTCCAGGTTCCGCAGGAGGCGTCGCCGCCCCGAAGATGCGGCAGCGAGAGAGGCGGAGCTGTTAGCGGGTTACAGGGTTGCCAAGAGGACCCTTCAGGCAGCGATAAAGCGGGCCAAGAGCGAGGCCCGCCGCGAGATGCTGGAGACACTGG